TTTTCAACATTTTCATGTGTTCCGGCCATGGAAGGACGACCAGAACGAGGTTTGTCATCAATTGACATTTCACCATTTTTGAAACGGGAAAACCACTCAAACACTTGAGTTTTCCCCATAGCATCGTCCTTGTATGTCGTTTTTAACATTTCAAGAGTTTCTGTTCCATTTTTCCCGGCAAAAAGCAGAATTTCACCGCCGCACACTGTTCACGAAAATCAGACATTGCAAAAACAACGATCACACAAAACAGTTGTCACTATAAACTCTGCTGAAACTAGTCCTTACCTTCTGAAGCAACGGTAGTCGGCTTATCAACTCAGGAATGTTAGCTCTATGCGCTCATAGCGGCAAAACGCTGTACTGCAAAAGCTCTGCCCACAAAAAAATTAGTTCGGTTTCTTTTGGGTACCCCATCGTATGTTGCAGATTATTATCATCCTCATAGTTGTGATTTACGTTGTTATTTATTTGTTGGAATAGCTAACTACTTATGCACAGGTTTTTTTAGGTAGAATTTATAGAATTCGCCGACAAGTGTCGGTCGCTTGGTTGGTCTGGTTCGCTTGTGGACTAAAATCACGTAGAATTTCCCTCAAGATTTGGCATGTTTATAATTGTTAACTTACAAACATTGTTTTATGTATAACATTCAGGAATGTTTATATGCCTAACTTCAACAATTGATTGCATCCAGCCTTCATAACGCTGTTTTGCATTCTGCCAACATGAAAAGAAAATTCATCAACAAAAGTTCATGTTTCTTTGAAGCTCAAGTTTCATACATAATTAGTTGAAATTCTAAATTACTCTGCTGCCATGTTAGGGTGCTGTCCTGCGAAACTACATGATGTTGCAAAAAGAAACAGAACAAGTTGTGGAAAAAGAAAGGTTGCTCAACTAGGTCAAGTTGTCATTTAAGAAGTTGCCAAGGCACTCAGTTTGCCAAGTATGTCATTATCTCAAGTGCTGGATAATGAGAGTAAACTGATTTGTGAAGGACTGGATGGTCTTTTTCTTAAGTTGATTATTTGACAATGCTCTCATTATGAAGACTATAGTATTGATGATAGGAAGATGAATGGATGTGGTTATGATGGTGGAATAAGAATTGGTAGGGGAAACCAGAGTGTTTGGAAAAAACGTGCCACTGTGTCCACTACAAATCCCACATGACCTGATCTGGGATGAAACCCAGGCACCAGGGTGGAAAGCCACTGACTAACCACCTGAACTATGATTTGGTTGATGATTTTTCTACTTTAAGGGATGAAATAAAGCAAAAGAACGTGCAGCATCTTATTGTCACATGTCTGGGTGACTGAGGCATGGGTTTGGATTGGTAACTGGATTTATTAACAACCTACAGGTTGTAACTAGAAATAATTATTACACTCTTGCTGATTTATACAATTTACAATCACTCCACAGTAATATTCTCAGTCTATTTCCACGAGCCTTCACTGTCCGCTTCCTGGCAACAGATTCATAACATGGGAACTATAAAAGTCTCACTCCCAATCCCACTGCACTATAGCATACATAAAGTTTTCAGATTACGCTTTAAGTCTTCACAGGTCTTCTATGCACTTTCCGGTGTTGTCTCCTACAGGGAACTCAGAACTGAACTGTAGCGCCATTTGTTTTTAACCTTTAAGAGCCGAGCGACTCCATATGGCATCATGAAAATAAAGTCAAGGGGACGAATGACGCCATATGTCGTTGCGCAGTCCACGCTTGCGGCCGGCTTTTTAAAATCTAATTTTAAGTTATAAATTCTTTTTCTACTTACATGATTTTTGGTCACCAGCTTTATAAGTTGTCTCTCTTCCCACCTGTGTCGTCTAACGGACTGTTGGCTTTGTGTGGAAATCTTGGAAACATCTGGAAATCCAGTGTCTGACGTCGCACTTCACGCACTTTGTCTGGATGGTTCTTCGTTTTCCACGCGAAAAGCACACACAACACCTCAATTGCGAAATAGAGGAAGTCGACCAGTGATGTGGTTTGGCCTCCTATAATCGAGATATCTCCGATAAAACGGCAGGGGTTCGACCCCTGGGCCGTTGATGGCGAGGTGGACCCCTTCCAGCATGTTCCGCACAAGAGCGAGACGAAATTCTCTTTGTGACAACAGGATGTAACTGTTCAGATCCAGGAGACGGAAAAATAGTTTATTTGTCCATTTCCAGGTTCGACGACAGATGCTATAACTTGCTGCCACAGTTTGCCCACAGCTCCACCTGAATAATTATTCACACTTCTCTTGCCATGCTGGTGTGCTGGTCCCCAGGTTGCCGACCAAGATGATGGTTCTTCATCGACTTCAATTTCTGATTCACTTTCTTCCTTGCAACTCTCAGAGTCATCGGTACAACAGTCTGAATCGGTGTCATTTGTAAGCTGATTCTCAATTTCAGCGTCTTCCAAATCCGAGGCCATGGTGGACAGCTAAAAACAACGCTAGCCTTGAACCTTCTGACACTGCTCGGCTATATTTCAAAACAGACTACTTCTTGTTTGGCTATACGAGATAAAACA